TACATATATGCTAAATTAAAATAATTACGAATCCTCCCATTAAAAAATCTTTAGCAAAAGCAACATGAAAATTTATTGAAGATTGATTACCCTACAAACTTTTCTTAGTACCTTGAGTAATGTCTTAAGAAATTATTGCATCGCATTTTATGTAAGATTATTCAACAATGTATTTATTTTCATGTTTAATGTGGCTTTGCTGAATTCTAAGGTAAATTAAAAGGTTTCTTTTAAAAGCTTTCTTTTAAAGAAATGAGGAGCACTCAAATATTCACTTACCTATTAAGATGAAAAATTAAGCTGAAAGCTGTTAGTAGTGTGCTTTATTAATCTTCTCGAAACAACAAAGAAAGTCCCTCCAAATGCATTATCTAACTCGTTAATTGTGATGTATAAATTAATTATGATTACGGATTAAGATTTGTACCGTAATTTTACTTGCTTATCTTTTATAAATGACTGTCAGAAGTGGAAAACGCTTTTATTTCGTATTGTTGAAAAACAAATAAGAATCATTTACGGGAACATTACTTCAATTAAAGACAGATTAACATTAATGAGTATTCCGTGCAGGCTAATAATAAGATTTCCTTGAACAGAAATGTATTCTCGTTAAATAATCATATCTTAATGTCTGTTAAGTTATTTTTTAATTATTCTCGTTATCTCTCAGTGCAAGAAAAAAAATTTAATGAGTAAAATTTGTTGAATGTGACAGAGAAGCTCAATTCGATAAAATCATTCGAAGTAGATACACTCCCAAATAAAAGAAAACTTATCTTTCCAGAACAGCTTATTTTAAGAATATATTAAACACCATGAAAAACTTTAAACATTAAATTTTCCTTTTACATTTTAACATAATCATATCAATCTTAATTGATTCCCGGGGCTTTTAGATATTTCGAACCCTTTCAACATTTTAGCATCAAGTAATGTTGCAGAATATTTGGTAAAAGACAGAAAGGTATTTAATATTTTCAGGATCTTCGGCTACAGAATTTTTAGCGTAAGGGATATTACGGTTCCGTTTTTTGCATTTCTAATTGCCTAAGAACATGGAAATTTTTTAAGCATTTATAAATTCAAAAAATATGTTAAAGTTACTTCCCATATGATTTACAGAGAATCAAAAAGTTTAAAAAATAAGTGTTGTAGTTAGCTGAATTCTAATCATTTGTTTTTATTGGATAAAATATCCATGAATGTTAATTAGATTCAATAATAATTATTTACCGTTCAAGAAAATAACTAGACGCTTAGCCCACTTAAAAAGTGTAATTTTCGTCGTGTTTTTCAAAAACAAGTAATGAGATAAATTTTAAAAACTTATTTAAAAGATGTTGTTTTATTTTTTAACTTAAAAGTGCATTCCAAAGACAAATTTTAATAATCAATTTCACAAAATTTATATAAATTTCTACATTTTCATTACATATTTTCCGATAGTTGTTTAAAAAATAAATGTACTTCTAACAGCGCAAGAAAGCTTGATAAAAAACATGTTTTAAATATGTACAAAATTAATAGAATTCTATAAAAGCCGAAATAAAACTAATTAGTTCTAAAAATAAGCCTGAAGATTCTCTTGATTGTTTTGCATGTATTTTTCATAATTTAAAAGTTAAAATTTATCGAAGTAGTTTTCTCTCGCAGAATCAATAAGAGATATGAAACGAATGATTCAATGTTCATATTCATTTTCAAAATGCTGGATGTCTACATATGAATTCATCTGCATTTAAAAATTGCTTTAAAGTTGAAAAATGGTGTGAAAGTCTTGAATTTCGTTGTAGCAAATCATGCAAAAAATGGCTGAAGTAATTCTAACAGAAAAAAATATCTCATGAAAATTCATACATTATAGAAAATGAAACGCTTCTGGCTTTTATTCATAAATAGGTTAGATCAAGGGCACTTAAACTGTGGCCCGTGGAAACCGGAGTTCCCCGACGCCTTTCTAGGGGGTTAGCGAAGGAAGATCTCTCTTTTAATGTTAAGATTTTCCTCTTTTACACTCTCTGAAAGGTCTCGTAGAAAAATTGACTAAACTGTCCCCAATGAAATATTCTACTCGAACATGTATTTCGATCAAGAATATTAGCTCAGTTCTTTTTATTGTTTGCAACTGCATAGCCATTACTACTACGCAATACTTTAAAAAAATAGTAAAAACGTATAAGTAAAGATTAATAACTTAATTCATAGCGCGCCGATAAGATAACGATTGCATTTAAATCATCCACCCAAATGCTGGGAGTCAGTGAGGGGTGTTTAAAATCTTGGGGGTCTGCTATGCCAGGTTGATACATAAAGGGGTCCGCAAGGATCGAAAGTTTAAGAACCGCTGGGTTACACTATGTCCGATACAAAGAAGTGTGACAACTTTTCAATGCATATTTTTTTTAAATAATTCGACATTTCTTTTATTGATTTTATAAAACTAAATAATGATTTCAACAAAATCCGTAACTTTATACATGCATATTTATACTTATATATGTACTTGTATATTTTCAAAGGGTATTATTATCAGGGTAATGGATAACATATGGGATTCTTATCTGACGGAAAAGTTTTATTAGTAATATAGAGTAATTTTCGTCTCAATTTTAACTTTTGGCAATTAATGCAATAGAAAGACAAGATTCTTAGGTAGAGACTTTAAAAACATGATAGTTAAAAAAGTGAAATTTGTTTGAAATACTTAAGTTGATAGATTGCATTTTTTTTTTCAAAAAACCAATCAATTGTTTCTTGTAATTCTCATAGTAAAATCCTAATTTATGTACATTTTATTTGCCTCAGAATTAAACTCTGGAGACAGCTAAAACCATCGCTGAATGGAAGCTCTGAAGTTAATTTATTAATGAATAAAGTTTTCTAAAATTTTTAGATCTATTGATCATAACAGTATTATACATCACATGGGAAACAAAATGAAAATCTTCGAAGTATAATATTTTCTTTCTTCTACAAAAAAATAATAATAATAAATTAAATGACGTGCATCACAAGAAACAAAAGCTGAATATAATGGATGCATTTACGTTAAATTATTCGAATAAAAATTGTACCAAAAATTAATTAAGAAATTGGAAGATTCTGCTTTCAAATTAGAACATTGTGAGATAAAATGCTTATCATAAGTGCTCCTATCATGAATAAATCAGTAGTATATATACTTTTACATTTAGTTTTCATTTTTAAACCTAGTTGCATTTAACTATTTGGACTAACTATTTAATTAAATCAAAGTCATGTATATGACTCTGTTTTAAAACTATTATAATTTATAGAACTATTTCTATTTTAGATTAAAACAAAATTTATACTAGAACAATTCAAGTAAATGAACAGCGTAGTTTCACTAATTTTTCCAATACGCTTCTATAAATACGTAACAAATAAAATGCAAAGCATAGATGCTTCTATTAATATGTCTAGGAAAAGTTTAATCTTATATTCCATAGATTCGCTCTTTTTCTTCATTTATTTCTAAAAAGTAATTGTAAAGTATGCTATACACTAGAAAAAAATATGCCAATTCAAACTTCGAAAAAAGAAGCTTTTAAAAAGATATCTTCATATTTATTTTGTGAATATAAAAAAATCTTTGAGTTAGAAGAGTGATCATTTGTGAAAAATGCACACCCCAATAAATGTTTCCTTAGAAATTATAAACTCCTGGAAAAAAACCTAAGTTTCCAATAAAATCATAAAAATATGTATACAATAAATATTAAATGACTCTTCCGCCAACTACGTACATAAAAATTTCATTTTGAAAGACATTTTTCTTTTCCTCGGCCTACAAGAAATACTTGTAAAATGGAAAGATGCTCTCACATTAACGACATTAGGACTTTCCATCACCTACAGGATTACCAGTGAAGAACTCCGTCTGAAGTCAAGCCCTTCAGACTTTGCGGAAATAGCAAAGCACAGACATTAAACACAAGACAAGGATATAGGGAAAAGGGGGCGGTCCTCGGGTCAACCCCTGACATGGATAGGCTCCTAGATGAAGATGAAAAGCCTTGGGGCCAAATCTCTAGGGCTTTCTTGAGAGCTCAGTTCCGATAAATATCCATTGGTAGAGACGCTAACACCTAGCGGTCGATGGACATCCAATAGGTCTTGAAATGGATTCCTCTCAACCGACTCTAATTAAGACCCTACGGAAAATCGGTTTTTACTTGGACTTCTTTTTTTCTGGTTTTTGGGGTTGTGTTAACCTTTAATGGCTTAGAAGCAGGGGAATACTATTCCGGGTTCTTTTTCAATAGCGAAATCGAGTCTTCTACTTATTTTTAAATTGTACTTGATCGTCGGAATTTGCTACTATTCAGTGAAAAAAGGGGAGTTGAAGGACGATGTCAATGATTCTTAATGTAATGTCTTGCTTGCTACAAGACATAAATTTACTTTAAAAATGTATATACCAAAGACATAAGCAAAGGAAGGTTTAAAAACTCCAAGTTTTTCAGCTAAACAACCATTATTTATTTCTTTGGATTGTCTTCTATTCATAACAAAATAAAACATTAACAAACATCAAAGTGTTGATGTGGTATCGAGCACAGCTAAGATTTAAAATTAGTGATGGATTATTTAAAGCAGTGATTCTCAATCTTTTTTTTTTATTATTATTATTTATTTATTTATTTTTGTTGCTGTACACTTTTAACAAATTCAAAATTTGGCAGAACACTAACAATAAAACAAGTGATATAATTTTTTTAAGCCAACTCCTGCTTAGGTCAGCAAAGAAAAATCTTATTTTAGTTACTTTTTATTAAATAGTTACAATTAATATAAATGTGTATATACATATGACACAGAATCACAATATTAAGTGACAAAATAGAAAGTAATTTTCCATTTTCCTTTCTATAAACGGTGTTGGACTATTTTTGGTTTGTTACTATTTATTCATTAATTATATTTAATTATTCCAATAAAATAGTATAGTAAAAGAAAAAACTCAGAAATTAGGAAATTCCAGGTGGGATTCGAACCCATCACCTTTGGATTATAAGTCCAACGTGCTATCCATTGCCCTACAGGAATACAACGAGCAATTTTCCTTTTTATATATGGTGTTGGACTATTATTTTTGTTTGTTACTATTTATTAATTAATTAAATTGATTTAAGGAATTAACATTTAAAAAAAATTGTATTAACATCAAGTGTAATCCACTACAAGTTTTAAAAAAATGTATTTGAACCTGAATGGATGAATAAAATTATTTTACTAACGATTGAAAATTTGAACTAGATATATATATAAGGAGAGTGTGTGAACTATTAGTAGGTATTAAATAACTTCAAAATAATTTTTTACTTGTCTGTAATACACTTCCATCTACCCATAAAAGAATAAGTTTAATATACTACAAATAGATTATTTCTATAAAACAGCTAAATGATTCGGTTTTGGAATTTTTTTTCCCCAGAGTATAATTAATACTTTTAAAAAAATTTGGTGGCACACAAAAATGCCGCGGCACAGTTGTTGAAAATCACTGATTTAGAGTACTACATATAGAGAGAGAGCAGTACAAGAATACATTTAAAGTATAAAAGTACTTCTTTCCTCATAAAATGTTTCAAGTTTCCTTAAATGTTATAAAAATTTAATTTTAGCACGTAATTTTTTGGTTATAATTAAGTATCAGTAAGTTTATAGCAGATTCATTTACATGGTTAGATTAATTATATTTTCAAACTGTATGAAGCTTATGAAAAATTCTTAAAATAAAACTTCTATAGTAATGGTTAACAAATGCAATTAAATTTTATTTATAAGTAAAATAATAATAATAAAATCAACATATGTCATGAAATTGCCTTTCGGTGTAATCATTGCATTAATTTCCTATTAAAATTAACGCTCGGGAAAGCACAAATTAATTTTTTGGCCATGCCCAAGAATTTAACTACATTGAATGCTGTTTAAATAGATGATGAAAGAATTTATGAAGTTGAGACGAAAAAGTAATCATCATGCCGAATCTTAAAAATAAATATTGTTCAGGTAAAAACAGATGCACAATCAAAAGATAAACCAATTTGCTATTTTAGTATTTCTAATTGTAATACGCAAATAAGCTTAGCTTAAAAAATATATATATAAATAAAATCAAACGGGGAAAACATTTTTAATTCAAATTTATTTTTAGTATAAATAGTAAATTTAAATAAATGGGAAAAAAATTAAACTCAGTGGCTCAGTCAATTAAACTGTGCCCATTCCAGTATACGTGACCACTGGGCACTGAGGTGCATGAGCAGATGTCCCGATTAGGTGGTCAGTCTGAAGCAAGACTCCCAGTGTTTGAGTCCCCAAGCAAGCATAGCACTCATTTATCTATCCACTAAATAAATGCATATGAAATATTTTAATGTAAACATTGCAAGAAAATATAGAGGACTCATAACAAAAGATTTCTTATTAAATAAAAAGACTCAAAATAATATTTACAGGACTTAATCATTTCAATTACTTGATGGTACATATTTACATTTTCCTCTCCATAATAAACTTGAAAATTACAATACCTAATATATAAAAAATTAAATCAGATATAATGAGTTATTAATATTCCTGTAATATAGAAGAAAAAAACGGATTTATTGTACCGCTTCCCTTTCAATTGGATAACTGTAGCATACCAATGATGATCTGAAATTTCACAATCGAAACGTGGTGGTATCAAACAAAAATTTACAGCTTCACAGGAAGTTATAGGTCTTACACGATACAACTCATAATGAAACAGATTTATATTGACCATAGAAAAATATGTGCCTTCTACAGTACCGATGTTACTTCGCTGAAGTTCTTCCGCTCTAAAATTTGATTTATTTATTATAGAATGCTTGGTAAAATTTGGAAATCTCACTCAGACGTGCATAATAACAATGATTTTTCTAAAATTGCCTTAAATTTTGATGAGTGTGGGCTTTATTTTATCTTTATTTTTGTAAAAAGGCCTTTATATAATTCCTAAATAATTAATCAAAGATAAGTTGTGATATTTACTTACGCTTTAAATAAGAACTATTCCTATGATTCATACTCCATTCAGGTCATTGGCTTGAAATTTAATCAGCCGTCACATTTATTAACAAAATTAGCTTATTGCTATATAATAAGGTAATTTTTCCTCATAAAACTCACTTAAATTGCGATATGCTAGTTTACACACAATGAACATTTGCTTTAATATTTGGATTATTTATTTATTTTCAAATAATTCAGATCTAAAATTTTTTATAAGTTGTTCATTCACTTTACATTGAAAGCTAAAGGAAAATAAAATCCACATTAGATCATCAAAAAATAATTACCAGATACTAAAACAATATATTCCGCTTACAATTTTATAAAACTTTAAATTTAACTTAACATTTCAAAAAAAATTGAAAAAAATACAAACATTTATTTTAAATTAGAACTTAAAATTAGAAATGCATTTACTCATATCACATAAAACAATGCAGCTACCAATGAGAATTTACGACATGATGGTATTCGATAAGAGATTGCAGAGAAACATGAATGAAACTTACAATCCTATTTCTAGAATACCCAGAACATGTTTTATCGAATTCAATCAGTAGTTGCTTGGCCAACAGGTCGATTTGGGATTAAGGTTTCATTCTGTAAATATTGACCTGAACGCTATATCTTTGTGCGTGGGAAAACATCGTCTATTAGCATGGAATCAGGACTCGGTGTTGTCTGAAATAAGTTCACGTAGAATCCTGATGTATTTTTAATACTAGTCAAAATACTACGCAATATTCATCGTTGTCTCCTCAATTAGAAATTAAATTCTAACTTAAATGCTGACACTTGTACAGATGTTCTGTAATCAGCAATATACAGACTTTTTAAAATCAAAAATTTAATTGGAAGAAAATTTGTTTTTTCATATATAAAAACAATACACTTACAAAATCTAATTTATTCAGTCAAAAACAGTAATACATATCCTTTTATCAGAAATGGTCAATTGTAGAGACAATTTATCCTAGACATTAACATAGGTATATGAAATAGGTTAATATTAAAAACAGCATATCTTACCGTATCTATTAGATAACAATATAATATTCATAAAAAAAAGAAAAAAGTAAGATGTCAATTTTTTAGGTATTGCCTCCTTTTATTTTACCACGAACCCTTATTATAAGACGGTTTTATTCAAATATTTTAAATTTAGCAGCAGAGATACCATATGAATACTACACACAAGTACACAGTTACAAAACTTTCAATCATGTAACAACCACATTTATAAACTCAGATTAAATCCAGAATAATTTTCAAGCTTTAAGAAATTGAACAACAAATCAATTATCACTTAACTTTCTATTAATTTAGATGGATTTATAAAATTTAAAATAATTTTCATTTAAAAAACAGTTCAAAATTTTAAAAAACATAAGAATATGATTATTTTGTGATTATAGTTAGATAACGAAATGAAAATTTAGACTTAAAACGCTGAATTCTTTTTAGTTTTTGACACCTTTAAAGTCGAAGTCCTTACTTTTTCCAACATTTCTCTACAGTTTCATTTCGAAAAAAAGCTAGCTAATGTCATAACAAGGAGAAACTTACTCAATAATCTCGATATCAATATCCGAACTTCTTCTATTTCTTATATGAAATTTAAAATCTCACTTTTCTTGCAAAAATAGAAAGATATCTCTTTTTGTCAATGGTTCAATAGTAGAGACTTTGGTTGCTCTATACAGGTTTCTATTTCAGGATTTGAACTCAAAACTGACTTTAATTTCGTTTTTCAGTGTAGTTTAAACGGGTAAAAAACGCAAAATACAGTTTATCTTATCCCAGCGTCAATATATATTGACAAGATACTTATTTCTCTCAGAGTAGTTTTCCCTTTCTTCTTTTATAGACAATCATATGAAGTTTTGCATCGCCTTTCCCCGCCACAGATCCGAGGTTCAAACCCCAGACTGTGCAAGGTTTACTCAGCCTTTCATCCCTTCAGTAGGTCGATAAATGAGTACCAAGCTTGCTTGGGAACTTAACACTGAGGGTTTCGCGTCAGACTGACCACCTGACCGGAACATCTGCTCATGCACCTCAGGGCCCAAGGTCGCATATACTGAGTTGGGCACAGTAGGCCTTGACCCTCATGGGCTGTCATGCCACTGAAGTTAAGTAAGTGTATGAAGCTTTACACAAAAAGTTATGGTGTAAAAAAATCACACCGAGGTTTTTACAGATGTATTCATCTGTAAAAACCTTTCTGTAAACACTTTCTAGGTAAAAAAAACTGCGAAAAAATATTACAGTATCGATACCATATATTTTAATATAAAATTTAATATATTTTGAACAAACAATAATCACAGCAACCATTGAAAAAGCATATACCCGTTCTATAGTAACTGATCAAATATTCACGAAACACGTATTTTCACACATCATTTTAAAATTTAAATTAGAGGAGATAGCTTAACAAAATTAAATATTTAAGGTATCCGACTACGTTCGGAACCGTGCTTTTAAAAAAGCGCATAAATAGATAATTTTCATGATATTTAGTGTCGCTTAGATTAGAATACATGTATAAAATTGTTTTGAGGACATTATTTCAAATAAATTATTTAAATACAATATTTTGGCAAAAAATTAACCCAAAATAACATTTTTTCAAAACGTTCTCCTTTTATAAAAACTGCTTCTATAATAATAATATTTTGTGTGTGTGTTTGTGCGTGTGTGTGTGCGTGTGTGTGTGTGTGTGTGTGCGTGCTTATATAAAGTAAAGACTTCTCCAGAGAGTCTGAACTAGGAATTTTCAAAAATTCACATTATTTTCAGAGTTTCTACCAATTGAAATAGTTTTATCGGCGTTTTTGTCTTAAAATTTCTGCCCTCTGTTGTAGTAAAATATGGATATATAAATTCACTTCTAAGTTATATAATTCAAAAATTCTAGTTCGACCTCTGTACAAAGGTCTGAGCTATATACAGGCAAAATATTATTATAATAGAAGCATTTTTCATAAAAGGAGAATGTT